AACAACAACAATAATAATAATAATAATATTAACAACAACAACAACAACAACAACAACAACAACAACAACAACAACAACAACAACAACAACAACAACAACAACAACAATAATAATAATAATAATAACAATAATAATTGAAATAATAATACTAATAATAATAATCAATAAATAATAATAATAATCATCAATAAATAATAATAATAATAAATAGTATATGTGTTTAAAATGTTTAGAGGTTTCAAGTTTTTAATATATTTTTCATACATTTTATAATATATTTTCCATACATTTTATAATTATAATTATATAGTATATTTTTCGTAAATATTTTAATATGTACATTTGTATATACATATATGTATAGTAATAAATAATCAAAGATCACTAATCCGTAGTTAAAAATCACTAATTAATAAGTTCAGTTCAGTTCAGTTCAGCTGAGTTCAGTCAATCGGAACAGGCCCTAAGCCATGCATAATGTACAATTTTTTTGGGTACAAGCGTACAAACCTTTCTACGACATGAGGTTGGTAGGGAGTACAATTTTTAGCTTATCTTCTAACTTATTATTTATACTCCCTGTCAAAAAAAAAAAAAAAACTTATTAATATTCAATTGTTTTTTGTTGAAGGGTAATTAACTAATTATACTCATATAGTAACGCGACTATGGTTATTGTTATTACAGAGTATTATTGTTATTCCGTAACATTATTATTATTAGTTTTATAATATTATTGACTTTGTATGATTCTTAATAATTCGAAGGTATATGGAGAATCAAAAGTATTGATGAAAATTGTATTTTAATGAAGGATCTTGCTAACGGACGCCTACAAGGCGTTAGGTAAGCATTCATATATTACTTAAAGTGGTATTAATTTGAGAATGCATGATCAAATCATTCGTCGATCGATGTAATTAAGGTTCATTTTAGTTTAATCTTTCTACTTTTAGTTGTCTTATCTAAGGGTCTGTTCTCTTACGTTGATATTCAGTTCAGTTCAATTCAGCTTAGTTCAGTTCAGTTCAATTCAGCTCCTAATTTCCTTCTCTTATAAAATATTCATTTCAGTTCAGTTAAGTTCAGCTCAGCTCAGCTCAGTTCAGTTCAGTTCAGCTGAGTTCAGTCAATGAGAACAGACCCTAAGTCGAAGCCAATTCACTTATTTTGTAATGAATAGAATGACTAATAAATACCCTCGTAATATATTGTTTTAATTAGACAACTCGATCGTCCTTCTTTTAATTTATTTTTTTATTTTTTTTTTAAAAGAGAGTAAAAGGAGAGAGTGGAAGTAGAAGTGTAGTGGGACAAAATGGGGAAAGTGATGGGCATAAGAAATTAAGAAGAGTTTCAAGACATAAATGATGAGAGCGATGAAGATTGTTAATGATGATGATGTTGGAGATGACTCCTTTTTCCAGCCTTAGCTTTTTCCTTCTCATGTGACCTTACAAGATTCGTATCTTTCATTTTAATCCCATTTCTTTATTTGTTTTATTTCTTCAAAACCTTGATCTATTAATCTCTATCTAAATATGTGCCATGCAAGTGATACATATTATTACCAATTATTGTCCATGCTACTTTTCCAACGTATATTCCCTCCTGTTTCTTGGTTACCTGATATCAGTACTCTACGTAGCATTAGTTTACATTATATTTTGGTTCGTAATGAGAAGGGGTCTTCTATTAGATCAAGATTAGGTCAATTCAATCCGAAATAACAGACTTATTAGCAGTAAAGAAAAAAGATAAGAGAATTTTCACTTTCAAATTGCTTTCAATGAGGATTGATCCCACAATTTCACGTTATGCAATAACAATAGTCTTTACCATTAGACGATCAATTACTACTTCACTAGGTTTAATTTAGTGATAAATACATGCACCATGCAAGTGATACCACGAAAAGTTAAATCCTACTCCGTTTCTTATAATGCGCAACCAAAAAATATTTTATATCTCACAAGTAATACCCCTTTTATTGTACATAATAAGAAATAAAGGTAGTAAATTTAAATCCTACTCGATATAAATTAAAGCTAAGTTTCCATTTGTTTTGAAAGAAAGTGGATTAGAAAGCCAAATCACTAACACATGAATAACATGGGGCAACAGCATATATAAGTAACAAATTGTTAGTTGTTGCTACTATAAGTCTATATATTTGCAACTTTATATCAAATCATATTGCTTTCCAATTGTTTTATTTCAAAGAAAAATCGAATTTCCTTTATCATAATAGGAAGTAACGACCTACTTATAGGAAGATGTAGGTCACATCATATCAAAGTTAGATGTTAATTTTCCAAACTCAATGAATCTGTAAGTGATCACATTGGACTAGTTGCTTAAAAATAGTGACAAATTCAACCAACCGGCCATCTTTATACGGAGTAAGATTAAGAGTTATACTTTTCATTGTACTATGTAAATGAACCCACAAAATTAACTATAGAAAATGTTTTTCTCCAACAATGCTCTTCTAAAAATTCTAGCTATATATAAGTATATATGTGCACGCATGTATCTTAATTATATTTGTAGTTTATTCGGAAATCAATTTGAAATTTTAATTACTGACCAGCCAAATTCCGATGGATTGAAGGCAACCGAAAATTTCAATTTATTAATAGTTTATAAATGATTTCTGCCCTATAGAACCTCTTTTTTTTTTTTTTTTTTTTTTTTTTTTTTTTTTTTAATGCATACGGAGTAACACATATGAGTATTACACATTCAAAGCTTTCGTTTGTTTAGCTCAATCTTGATAAAATATTACAAATTATAATTAAAATCGTTATTTGAAAATAAAGGGATCTGAATAATGCATGAACATATTATAGTAGTACATACGAGTAACATGCAATTATGCATGCCATAATTCAAAAAATCTCTAACGTTCAATTGATTTATTGTATTTTTTTTTTAAATTTAAATTATTTAATGTTGCTTGCTATGATTGCATGTAAGAGTCTCGTGCAAATTATAGTGACACATAAAATTGCCAACTTTGATATGCTCCTTTAACACATAACAAGGAAAACCTTTTTCCTAAGAAAAGTAAAAGTGTAAAATTTTTAAAGGGTCAACTGCTTTCCAAGAATTGAATTACATACAAAAAGGTTTAATTGGTGAGAAAAAACTAGAAAGTGAAGATCGAGGTCAGCTTAGCTTAGCTTGTTGCCATTCACCATTTTTCATCATAATTTTGCACATCCTTTTTTGCTTTTCAACGTGCATTTTTTTTTTTTTCATTTTAGTTTTACTTTCAATAATAATACTTGGATAGTCGGATTATATAATTAAGAAAATCATGTTAATTTTATTTTATGTTAAAAATGACAGCAATTATACAGTGATATATGGGAAATTCTTTTCCTAAAAGGACCCATATATGGCTTTTTATTTTTTTGTTCTGGTGCAAAAAAGAGAATCTTAACATGACATTTTGGAAAAAGAAATTAATAAAATTGAGTATTTTTGACAAAATATTTAGATAGATAAATTTTAAAATAACAATGTTGACATGGAATACATTACCTAGTTTTTTTAACCAACAAGGGCAACAAAAGATATACCCAAAGTATTATAGAAATAGTAGTTAATGATAAATACTATGTAGTCCTTACCAATTCATTATGCTCGTAATTGTGACCATGCTAATTAGTAATTACTCTGTAAGACTGTAACCAAGTTAAGTTTGATCTAGTGGCAAAGATTAAACTTGAGGTGGGGGGTTCAATCTGCATTAGAAATATTTCGAGGGTGGGGATCTCTTACCCTTCCTCCTCTCTCTCAAAGTGTCTTACCGGCTTGCAAATACCAGATTAAAAATTCGTGAAAAGTGAGGAACAATCAGAGTCTTTCTCCCTATCTTATATATAAAAAAAAAAAAAAAAAGGTTAGTTACTCTATCAATGAACAACAAATAGATAAATACAAAGTAAGAGTATTTAAGCAAAATACGAGTATCATTCAAATATGAAATTTTGAATTCTATAAACTTCTATATATACGAAGTAAGAATAACCAATCCTCAATGTAGTTTTAGTTTAGACTTTCAGAATTAATACATGTGAGAGCTTCGTACATAATATATATATATTTTTTTTCCCCTAGTATTGAACTTGAAATGATTGAAATCCATGTGGAAACCAGTAAACGCTAAACGAATATGCATGCAATGCAATACTTACGATCGAGCCGCAAGGGAACGCCTATTACTCATACGGATTAGATTTTACTACGATAAGTAATTAGTATTCCCTTCGTCTCTCTTTATTTAATTTTTTCTACTAGTATTTAAAAATTAAAATCTTTATTAGAGAAAAAATAGGAAGAATGAGTAAAGATAGATCAGAGGAGATAGTAAAGTATTAAAAAAAATCCATCAGCATGCATGGTTAGTTTTCAGCTGGCACCTTTAATAGATTTTGCTTATTTAAAAAATTTCTCTTGTTAAATCATTGCAACCTTTTTTGGGATTAAGAAAGAGCTTTAATAATGTTATTAATAATAAAAGACATTAATTAGATTTGCTGTCAATAAAGAAAAAAAAAAGACATTAATTAGATTAAGAACATATCTAATTTCACATAAGATATTGTCGGTAAAGCTATGGTCTAACTACAGTACACGCCAGAAGTCCCTCAAAATTATTTGCCTAGTAAGCTGTCATATGTTTTTAGTTAATGATAACTCTAACCATCTTCCAGCAATTACATACTGTAACTCTCTCCGTCCTATATTACTTGCTCCATTTTCGATCCGGTTTTAGGGCGTCTTATTATGATGACATTGGTTTTGTGAACGATTATCACAAGTATTACAACAACTATCATGCCTCATACTAGTGTATTTATCTGCTATTTGGGAAAGAGGAACATCAGATCGTCAATGTACTTTACAAAGTAAATCCTTTCGTTCAAATTTGTCACATTACTGGTTTAAATTATACATATACACGTTTTACACAGGTGGAAAATTCAAAATTGTAAAGCATGAACATAACATTAGCTGAACATACTCATGATATTATACATACGGAGTACATAAATAGGTTATGGAAAATAAAGGAAAGTTACAATGTGATAATCCAACCTTTTGAGTGTCTCCTTAGGTTTCTACCTTTTATTTGGATTAACTCATCATGACAATAATAAGACTAATAACCCCAACCGCAAGGTATTCTCATTATAATTCTAAGAGATTTTGACTTAATAATCTAGAAAAAAAAATCTTAATTAGGTGTAAGATCGATCACTTGGAATAATTTGAAAAAAAGAGTACATGACCACAAAGTTATGATTATTCTAAGTTTGTATAAGACACTGACCATAACTTCATATTAATCGGATTGATCATCCAATTAGTTTTCCTTGTGCCACACAGCAAATCTATGACCACAAGTAGCAAGTTTCCACTCTCTGCCTGCTGGGCACCATGATCCGTCTCCAATCTTCATGCTTAGCTTCTCCCCTATGATTGCAGAGTAGAGATTAGGTTGAGCTTCAAGTATCCTGATAGAAGACCTACTGTGAATATCATTCTGCTTTCGGATGTTGATCTGTACAAGTAGAATTAGAAGGTTTTTACTTAGTTACATTACCCTCAAATATATTGCTGTTCAAAACGGCTAAGAAGATTAGTATCTTACCAGATTTACAATTTTGTCATGGATGGATGTACCCCAATCATAGAAGTGGTCATAGAACACAGTTGGTATCCCAGGATGTGTTAGGATGTATGCATAACCCTGGGACAGATTCACAAAATCATACAGTACATATGAGCAAAACTCCACAAATTCATGTAACTTAAATTCTCAATAATTACAAGGATAAGTGGCCTACTCAATAAAGCACTTAATCAGAATCTGGCTACGCTAGTAGGAAGCACCAAGTTGATAAAGTGGGAGCAGGACAAGATGAAAAAGGAAAGGCTAAAATAGTGTTCTGTTTCAATTTGGGATAAATTGCATTGTTAGGATTTATGTGAATACTGAACAAACAAGTCTCTAAACCCATCTGAATCTTTCTTAATCCAAAATTTTACGTTTAAAAACAAAATCAGATCAGATCTACTGGCAATCTATATAGTGCTGGCATTGAATGTTGTTACCTCCATAATGTGATTTGCTGGGAAGGGCCAGTGAGCCTGCAGAAAGAAATTTATCTCGTTAATAGCACGATAGCTGAGTAAGTATTACTTTGTATAGAAGGTAGTAGTGACTACTGAGCGAAATAATTTTGTTGAAAGAATGAACCGATATAGTGGTAGCTGATAATCAAAGTCTACATAAATGGGTTTGCTTATGTGATAAGATAATTCCTAATACTAGGAACGGTAACATCTAAAAGTTCAAGTGCAAAACTAGACTAAATTTCTGCTTGAAGTAAGCATAGCCAATAGATTCACAATTTTTTTTTTGTTCCTTGGCATGTCCTTCACTGGTTACCTATGGTCCAATTTACATCACGCAGGAAAATGTTCAGATATATCCATTAGCTACAAGTATACCTTACCATTGATGCATAAAAAAATGAATTATTGTTGCATCAATACAGTGAGGGATTACCTGTGTTGAGCCAGTATCATGATTATCAAGAAATGTAACAGCTCTTGAAGGCCACCAACCCATTACACCAGGTGGCTTCCCCTGTGAATCTCGAAGACGCCAGTATTCTCCCTTAACAGCTTCCTAATATTCAAGGTAAGTAGGATTTAGCTTTTCATTATATCTTCAACAACATTAAATATATGCAACTATTTGTTTTCTAGATTTAATCACAAAATATAATTTTGTCAACTTATGATGATAGCAACATAATTTAAATTAGATTTTTTTATGTAAAGTCTTCCATCATAAAAAGACATGCTTATTTATTCAGCATTCCGGATATACAAGTATACAGGAGTAACCTTGACAATACCTGCAAAATTCCTTTTGTTGTGAAGTCAAATGCAGTTGCAAGTTGTCCTGTAGCATCAATCCAATTGATAATACGTTGTCTATGACTGTCTGTGGAAATAAGAAAACGAAGATACTGAAATGATCCTCCATCAAGACAATGTTCATGAAGCTCACCAGTTTCAGAATCATTATAAATATTTGATGATCTAGTTGGCAACTATAAGGCAAGTCAAAGGCAAATCAACTGAGACTGAAGTTCTGTTCTCTCCCATCCAACTAAGTACGTGCCTTCTGTTATACTGTAACTAGTTATCTTAGAAACTTTAGCCCTCATCAAAAAAAAAAAAAAAAAAAAAAAAAAAAGAAACTTTAGCCAGGATAACTCAGAAACTCTCTAAGCTTCCAATTCTTCCATCTCGCATCTGAAATCTTGTCCTTTGAAGCAAATCATCAAAAATACCAAGAGCCTACTTTATATTCAATGTACGATATCAAACCCTTTCGTAGTAAGACATTAAAATCACAACAACATCAACACATCTGTGACATAGAAGGGGCATAAGCCAACCAAAATAGGTCAATTTAATCGATTACTGTTATACTTCTAGATATATTTTATCCCAGAGAAAATAATGAATCAGTCTAGCAGGTTGAACACAAAACCTAAGATTCTAAATTCTAATATATTATAGCTGTTTAGGGGAATCAGTGCATTTAGATAATTCAGCACTACTTGCCAGTTCTTATACAAGGCACTCCAGTAGAGCTAAAGCAAGCAATCAATACTGGTTGTATCTGTGAAGGCCTGATATTTGTATAGTATATTTAAGTTTTTGGAGCTTGGGGAAATTGGAAGTAATTTGTTATTGTATACATGCATGTATTTTCTTGCACTTTATTGTATAGAAATCCTTTGGACAAAGCTTCTGTTAGGAAGGCAGCAATCAGATCAGGGTAACACCTCTCACAAAATTTTCCCCGCGAAACCTACTTGTAAATCAAAATTTTAATTTTCTGACTCCAACAAAATAGGTTAAGCGTCAAACCTTTGGTTATATTCCCTACAGTACGAGTATACTTTCTCTTCTAATTGGAAGCTGCAGTCATAAAAACTAATCCTACCTACATGAGCTAAGGTTTTGTTGGTTGTTTCCATTTCATTTTCATCTAAGGACTCTATGTGTGTCATCTAATTCACAACTTCCTCCTACTACAACTACCTAACAATTTATATTCCAGCTACTTTTGTTGTAGGAATGTATTTTTTCTTTACTCTTCCAAAATAGCCCACATTATCTTCCAAGTATTAAAGAAAAAACAGCTTTTGTATAGTAGTATGGATGATTATATTACTAAAACCCTGGTAATAATTCAACTAATAAGAGAATTTTTATTGTTGAGATTTAACGTATATTTACCTTGGTTGTAGGCCAAACGACCAGTATGATAATTACAAGAATCCCAATATTCTCCAACACAGAATACTGGTTTTGCATCTTCAATATATTCCTTCACATAATTTGCTGCATAGCTAACCAAGAATTGAAAGGTTAAGCCCATTTCAAGCACAAAATAAAAACTTGATTAATAAATGTTTAAATCGAAGATGACAAATTACCCTCTTGCAAAATCAAACCGGAAGTCTTGGAAGCCGATCTTGTTCAGCAGCCACCTCAGCCATTCTGAAATGTCTTTTCTAACGAACGATTGTGTATGATCAATGTTGGGAACACCATTAAAGTTGTCACCAGTACTTCGATTTCCCTGAATCAAACATGTAAAACAGGGGATTCATGTATCAGCATATCAGAATTCAAAAACAAATTAATAGTGACTTATTTTAGCCCAAAAATTTAACATTGATCTGCATTAAATTTAACTTGTTTGGCATATTTGGTTTTATTATTAGCAAATCAGCCAGAAACCCCTATATTAAAATATCTTGACTCAGATTGGTTGGCTCGTCATGTCATCCATTGATGCAAAATTGAAAAAACAATGGCTTTAATTCGCAATCCATTCAATCCTTCATAATAGCAGAGGTTTCACCTTTTTTGCCACACAATCACTCTATTTTTTCATTTAGGACCAAGTCTTACAGAATTAATTTTCTTTCATTAGCAATTTATGCATTTTTCTGTTTTCAAACTGAGTTCAGTAGCAAGAGACCATCAAATTTCTAATTTCAAACTGAGTTCAGTAGCAAAGACCATCAAAATGAGATGCATACTGGGGTCTGGGGTCTGGGGTCCTCTGTTGCTAGTAATGTCTCCCATTTGAAATCCACATTTTTTTTCAAAGGCCATGAAGAGGTCTAAACAATTTAGCTTTCTTAATTCTTAACCAAGCACTAAAAGAAACATGTATGATATAAAATGTAAATTTTATGCAGCAGAAACACTGTTCTCAAAGTGTGCAAAACAAATAAATAATTTCAAGGTAGCATAGCAAATCCACTAAGAAAATAGCTATCAAAATTGAACATACTGCGGTTGAATTAAGCATGTCATACCAGTCCACCAGTACATGATGTAACAGCATGTTCATCCCATGATAACGACATTCCATCATAACGGTTGTACATCCCTCCATGGCCTTTGGTAGTCCCAACACGATGATTTATTACTATGTCAGCCATGGGTCTGACTTTGTGCTGCTTCATTTTATGTAGTAAAGCTTTCAGCAGATGCTCAGAACCATAAGCAGAATTAAGTGAATACAGATTCTGTGGAAGATAACCTACAAATAAAGTAATCCGCAAAGATGAATACACAAGGCATCATAAATTGGATACATGAAATATACTGATACCACTGAGGGGCAGTTTCTCTTCCTCTCACCTTCAGGGGACAAGGATTGAGATGCAGGTGGCAACCATACGGATGTGAACCCTGATTTGGCAATGTCAGGCATCTTTTTCTCTAAGTTTCTCCACCAGTCAAATTTGTGAGACTCCCAATTAAAAGCCTGTTAACCATATAAGAAATAAACCAAAAAATAAAAGAGAAGAAGTAAAATACTTAATGATTGTCAACATCCATATGCATCAAATGAGGACGGACCAACTACTTTAAGGTTTAATTTAATTTTAGAAAGATTGGGACATGAAAATTGGCCAATTGAGTACTCTCTCCAGAAATATTTAAGAATCACTTGAAAAACGGATTTTCAAATAAGTGTGACTTTAGTAGCCCAATGCAAAAATGTACAATGAATGTCAAAGTTTACACTTTCCCAATCAATTTCCTATAATAAATATGATTTGGTGATCTAGTCATTTTTGAGAAATATTCAGATTACTTTGAGACGTGTACTTATATTATGTGATACATATTTGTGAACAAGGGAGTACATTGTAAAAAGAAAAGAAGCAGAAATCATCTTTCTTCTATGACATAACACATAACAAGAGAATTTATGGAATATAGGAGTGTACCTGAAGAAGGACTTCTCTTCCCCTTTTGATTGCTGCAACTGCAAAGGATCCATTATGACTTTGCTCAGAACTAACACAACTGAACTCTATAGAATGGAAATTTCTTAAAAACTCATAATTAAAGCTAGACAAATTTTTGTAACTTATGGTGACATTCATAAAACGATTTGATTAAAAGCTAAAATGCTCCATGTGAACACTATGTTAGAGCTTTCATCAAATTACTATAACCTTTTTTCTAGTGATAAAGATTTACAAATTTTGGTCTTCCTTGGGAAAAAATAAAATCATGGAAAAATGTTTCATGTAGTTACAACTTACAAATCAGAATGTTTGATCCTTAATTACAAAAAAGCTTTATAATTTGCATGATATCATTATTTATTTTGTAATCTAAAACATGTACTATCTCCTTCAACTGAAATCGATCATAACCAAATATTTAAAATATCAAGAATTCATATTCATTCTATAATGAAAAGAAATGAAAAATATGAGTTCTACTTAAGGGAGAAGTAGTATTAGTTCTAATGCTTGCTCAAATGGATACAGCCAAAAACAAGAGATTTCAAATTGCCATGCAAAATGAAATTGTTTCACACTATCCTGGAGGAACATTGCATTCTATTGCATGCAATGTAAACATCAAAGCTTGCAACCTGCAGATGATTTAGAAAGAAGAGAAAAAGAAATTATAGCATATACCTATATCAGTTTGCTGAACATTATCATCAATGCCCTGCACATTGGAAGATATACAGAAAACATAAGAGAAGCTTAATTTGAGCTTGAAGACAAATCGACATGTTCAGAAAAAATACATGGCAAGCACTGAAGATATTGCAAAGTTTGAAGAAAGAGTACAGGATGAGACATACATGTATATAAATATAAACCATGCTGGATCAGCAAATCAATACGAAAATCTGGTGTTCCTTACAGAATTAGGCCAAAAGCTCAACTAGTAATCCTATAAGCAAAGATATACAAATGGTTATTAGGGGTATTGAGATTGAACCTAATAAGCTCATCATACAAATGAAATTCAGTAAGACAACATATGATCATACAATATCCACCAAACTAAAGTTGCTTAGAATAGATTCATGCTAAGCCCCATCAAACAGATAGTATCTATAAATCTCCACCAAATTTGCAAGTTGGCAATTTGCTACTCTTGCTAGCAGAAAGCAGGAGAGCTCAGAGTCCGACTTTGATTTCGATTAAAAAGTACTCATGTTACAACAGTTACAGGTTCTCAACTTGTAGACATCCTCAGGTTATATCAGCAGACACTTACAGAAAGCCTTTATTAGTTTAATTTCATCTACAACTACAAAATTAAAGCCTTTACATCAGTTGCATGAATCAAGAATCTATCTCTTGCTGTCATCTAGTATTATATTTGTTTTACTCAAAGCCGAATATATTATCACTTGCCTATTACCTCAGGGAAGTAAATCTAAAAGCAAAACAATGAAAAATAATTATCACCCAATGCAAAATTCAAGCAAAGATGACCAAACAAACCCAGAAAAATGCTGCACTCTTCAGGCCTATTACTCTTAAATCTTGGACCGTTCAAACTATACATAGAAATTACACCCTCAATTCACATAATGAAGCAGTATCAACAGCCGCAAACAAAAATATATAATATATTCCAACAAATGATTGATTGTAATTTGGAATAAATTCTAGAAATGGGCAATTACTTCTGAAAGAGGAATTTCATCGAACAGCTGGTGGGCAATAGTTGAAATTCGATTACTTTTACACAATTGTTTCCCATTTCAACAAGATTCACATTCATAGTTAATGGGGTTTGATGATCATGGAATTTTGATTTGATAGAAAAATAAAAAAAATTAGAAATTGATTGATGAAAGACATTTGTTGGTGTGAATTTGGACTGCTTTAATATAGGATTCCTAATAATTCTGGAGCGTAGAAAGAAAAAGGATGTTTTTTGTTTAAGGTTTCTGCAAATGCGCCAAAGTAACTTCCTTTTTGTGTAGTGCCTTTGAGTCAACTGTGTCACGAATCAAACAATCAATACCAACATTAACGGTCAACAAATTCCCTTTTATACACCAAGTATATATAAAAGAGGTAAGAATAAAATGTTCCAGTGAAGATGTGGAAATACAACTTGTAAGTTATTACGGAGTACTAATATACGGGTAATAACAAAGTAGAAATAATATAGAGAGTACACCCATTAGTTGCCCATTAAGGTGAGCATTAAGAGAGAGAAAAAAAAAAGGAATAAATGTTTTTAAAATCCAAAAGCATCGATTAGAGCAACCACAACGGTGAGGAGCACCCTCCCCACAACTCTCTCTCTCCTCCTTTTAAGCTACCTCACCATTGTAGGAGGTGACTCATGGATAACCCATTTGATGGGGATGCCCTCTCTGCTAGGTCACCTATTGCCTCAGTCGTGTGAAGACTAACGCTGCGTTTCATTATATTTTTGCCATATTGTTGTTTTATACGGTACAGTTTTGATGTAAAAAAAATATAATAATTCAGAAAGTCTGACGTGCGACAGGGAGGACGCGGCCCTGTGGATTTTCGCCATGTGTCCCACTTAGAGTTGTATTGATTCAATTTAAGCCATTGATTTTATAGCTGTTGGGATTGTATTTTCAATTGATTTTTGTCTCTTAAAAAACTTTCAACGGTAATAAAAAAAATCTGCTATGAATTTAAAAAATAAAAAATTTATCTACGGCTTTTTAATATTTTTGCCTATAAAAAGAGACTAATATTGCAATTGTTATTCACACTTAAATTTTTTTACCATCCCTCTACTAACCCACAAAAGCTAAGTCATATATTATCTAAACCCAAAAAAATAATATTAGTCCTAATTATGGATCCTAATATTCCTAATAATCAAGGAAATAATTTCTACTCCCCACATAACCCAAATTACCAAATTTATTCAAATACTCCAAATTTTCAAGCTAATCTCCACTTTGATCCAAATGGTCTTACTAATCCAAATGTTCAAAGAATGTTATATTATAACATTCCTAACCGACCAGTAATAAATCTTAATTAGCAGTTTCCTAACCAGTTTTAACAACGGTTTCCTAACCAATTCCAACAACAATTCATGAATCAATTCCCCAAATTTTTTCTTCTGGATTAATGTTCCCAATGTCTCAACACGTTGGAAACCAAGTGGAGAATAGTCCAACAACTCCCGAGGGAGATGGAAGTTGTAACAAAACTCCTCTTGAAATAAATGCCAATGATGATGAAAATGACGATGATGACGTTGATGGTGAAGATGTGCAAGATAGCAACACCACCTCGTCAAATGCAAAGTGAGGTGCACAAGAAGACGACACACTTGTCTCAACTTGGATAGAATGCGCGATTGAAGATACGGAGATAGCAACTGATCAGAGTTTAGCTATGATGTGGAAATCCATATATGAGTTGTATGAGCAAGCTAGAGAAGACAATTCTTCCATTATCCGCCCCAGAACCTTGAGAGCTATGAAAGGTCGTTGGGGTAGAATAAACAAAGATGTGAACCTATGGGTTGGGTGCTATGCTGCGACACAACGTAGAAATGTAAATGGTATCAACACTTACAATGTCATGACTGAAACTCAAGAAATGTATAGTGCATCATGTAACAGAGTCCGGTTCACTTTAATCAGCATATGGGAAGTGTTGAGAAAATCTGATAAATGGAGGCCGTCAAACAAGCAAGTGTCGAATACCAGTGAAAGTGATAACTCCAAAAGAATAGAACCAGATACTCCAACGGAAGTAGGTCAGCGTGGAAGTTGATTCTTCAGCGTTTGCCTTAATTTATGTTGTTGTTCATTTGGTATGATTTTACGATTGTTTTCTGAGCATATGTAAAACTTATTTTAATTAATGTTTTTTAAATATAATTGAAGTCATTGACTTGTCAATGAAGAAACTCTTCAATCTCATCTTCTAATGATGTGTGCACAAACATTGGTTTGCAATTGGATGGAAATCTGCAAACTTTATCAGGATTCTCATCTTCTAGAGTTGCGTGCCTAATTAATAATTCGTAATTGGATAGTAATCTGGATATATCATCAGAAATCTCATCATCTAGAGTTGTGTGCCAATACATGCATTGTTTTGTAATTGGATGGGAATCTGCAAACCTTATCAGAAATCTCATCTTCTACAGTTGTGCCCATACATTAAATCATATGTAATTGTTAATAAATACTTTACAAATTTCTATATAAGGCCTGTTCACTTTGTAGTTCAACACACAAACAAAAATACCCTTCCTCACAAAAACAGTCTCACACTAAACACTACTCTTACCATATATACCCAAAAATGAATTTTGATTCAAATTCATCTAGTTTATCAAGTTCTGGTATTTTCGATTATATGGTGAACGACTATGTTGAGTGGCACGAATCAATTACTTAGAGGCGTAAGGAAGAGGAATTAATTGAGGAAGCGATCAATTCAGCTGTTGTCCCCCTTGTCACCTCTACTTTTCAGGTCCCATTCACTCTCGGTCCTTAGAAGCAAAGGTGGTATGTACCAAGAGATCATGAAGATGCTGATACACGGTTATATAACGACTACTTCAGTCCCTAACCACTTTATAATGACGATATGTTTCGTCGAAGATTTCGCATGCGTAAATACGTTTTCACGTGCATTGTTGAGGAGCTAAGCGAAAGTAACGAATACTTTCAACAAAGGCCTGATGCCATTGGAAGACTTGGTGCTTCGGCTTTCCAAAAATGCATTGCGGTAATGAGGATGTTGGCTTATGGTACAGCAACCAATGTAGTTGATGAATACCTCAAATCACGGCAAGTACAGCAAGAGATTGTCTCCAATACTTTGTTGAAGGGGTTATCTCTAAATTTGGAAAAGAGTACCTGAGGAGGGCAACACCTGTAGATGTAGAGAGACTTCTTTGTGAAAGTAATGTTTGTGGATTCCCCGGTATGTTGGGGAGCATTGACTGCATGCATTTGAAGTGGAAAAATTGTCCACGTGCATGGAAAGGAATGTACCAAGGAAGAAGTAAAACTGCGACCATCATTTTAGAAGTTGTTGCTTCCAAAGACTTGTGGATATGACATGCTTTTTTTGGCACACCTGGTTCACTTAATGATATAATTTTCCTCCAACGATCGCCCATATTTGATAATATTTGTGAAGGTTGAGCCCTAGAGGTGAATTTTAATGTGAATGGAAATAGATACAATATGGGATAATACCTTACAGATGGTATATATCCAAAATGGGCAGCATTTATCCTAGCCATCAAGCTTCCACAAACCGCTAAGCAAAGATTACTTACGAGGAAGCAAAAAAGTTATCGCAAATTAAAGATGTTGAACATGCCTTCGGAGTGTTAAAAGCTCGATTCACAATAATACGACATCTAGCTCTCGCATGGTCGACATAAATCCTATGGAAAATTATAATGGCATGCACTATCATGCACAATATGATTGTTGAAGATGAGTGAGAAAACTATTTACATTACGATGCATCTAAATTTATCATTGATATTAACCAAGATATTAACCAACCATTCACTGTGAGAGAAGGACGACTACGTAATCTCAGTTTAGCGAGTTACATGGCAAACATAAATAATGTCCGAGACAGGGAGTGTAATACCCCGTATTTTAAACCCGTTTAATGAACTATTAATTTTGTTTTGACTTGAATACATCATAGTTTATTAATAATACATATTATTATGCTTTAAAGTGACTCAAAATAATATTATTTAGTTTTATTTACGAAAATTATTTGGTTAAAATTATGTTTTTTTTTATAAAAGATTTTGATATGCTTTCCGGGAATTTAGTATCTAAATATATGATTTTTCTACTTTGAGTATTTATTTGCTCAAGCCAAAGGACCTGAGTCCATTCCTTACTCCTAAAGCATGACCAAAGTCACAAACTTCCTTTATAAGCTTGAATACTTGACCTCCAAGTTGTTGACATCATACATGATGTCAATAGCATGACCTCATAAACTTCGTCTACAAGCTTGAATACTTGACCCCCAAGTTCTCAAACTCTATAAATAGAACCAAAGTTCAACCATTTTAATCCAAAAGTCCCTTGCCTTCTTAAAGCTTCATCCTTCTTTTCTTCTTTCTTCCTCCCATTTTCGTACTACTTCACCCCGTATATGTTCCAGGCCATTTTTCAACCACTTCTGACCATTTTTAGCCTTTTTCTGAGACAAAGTTGTTCCTCTCAAAAAATCCTTGAGGTTAGACTCAAGAATCACACAATTTGGAGTTATATACTATGAGATATGGCTTCTACAAGATCTGACTCCTTCTTTTCAACGTGAACCTTCCCGTGAGCTTTGCTACTTTATATTGTTTTGCGGTTAGTCTTTCAAAACTAAAATCTATTTTTAATTTATGATTTTTTTTGTAAGGTTTCATATTTGATTCTTATTTAAAATACTCCATATAATGTTTATTTAGGAGATAGTTCGTGGTTGTAAATCTAGGTGGAATAGTTGTAAAGATCAAGGTACGTAGGGCCTGTTCTCATTGACTGAACTCAGCTGAACTGAAATGAACTGAACTGAGTTGAACTGAACTGAAGTGAACTGAGCTGAACTAAACTGAACTGAACTGAAATGAAATGAATATTTTATAAGAGAAAAACTGAGCTGAGCTGAACTGAACTAAATTTCAACGTAAGAGAACAAGCCCGTACTCGTGGCTAAATCTTTAAATATGTGATTTTATAGAAATGTGTTTTGTGCTTTGAATGATGAATTATGTTTGAATGTTGAACAAGGATTTATGAATGTTTACGAAATAAATATTGTGAAATGTTTTATTGTTTGATCTTTGGAAATAATTTAGTTTCAATGTTCTAAAAGTTATTTATACACATACTTGAATTCAAATTCATTTTATAGAGCAAATGTTGTTGAAATCCCATACATGGGAATTGGAAGGTTGATTTATCAAAAACATATATTGGATTTTTATGACTCCCACTATATGGAGATAAAATTGAAGACTATGGACTATGTATGACCTAGTCTTTCCCCTTGATAACACTATGTAAGGAGTTACTAGCTTGGGGGGTGTGCACACTTAGGAGGAAAAATGGTTTACGAAAATATTGATCTTCCATTTCTATTGGAATCTATTTTGGGAAAGTTGTTGGTTTTGAAATGTTGATAATTTTTGGAATGTTTCTAAACGTTTCTTAATGTGAAATTCCTATTTATGGAAGGTTTGAATAAATGTTATTTATAAATGCTAAATCTTACGAAAGCATGTTTAATTAAATAATAACTTGATTTTACGTATCTAGTATTGGTATGTACTTAGTGTTTT